TGCATAGATAGGTAGGTAGATAGATAGATAGATAGATAGATAGATAGATAGAGAGAGAGAGAGAGAGAGAGAGAGAGAGAGAGAGAGAGAGAGACAGATAGAGGGAGAGAGGAGGGAGGGAAGGAGAGAGAGAGATTCTACACCATTCTTATCATACTATTATGTTTGTGCCCTGAAGGACGATGCAGACCCTCACCTCAAGATAAGCTGAGAGAGTCATGTAGACCTTCTCCCCATAGGCTGTGACACGGTTCAGCATGGTGGAGTTGTGCAAGCTGCTGTCCCAGGCAGCCTCAAAGACAAAGAACACTCTGTGGACACAGCAAGTTTTAGCTTTCATTTTTGTAAGCGTTTTACAGCACTTGCAACACAATTAGGTCATATAAGTGCTGAAAATTAGAGGGTGTTGCAAGGGAGTATCAAACACAAAAACTAAGGAGGAAAGATAAGGAGGACAGATGTTTGAAAGGAAAGAAGGGGCAAACAACACCAGACCTCCTGCCAACCGCCCATAAATGCAAGAAAAGATACATAATTTATGCACAATTGTTAAAAGAATGAAAAAGGTTTTTTCTCTCTCCTGATAAACATTGCTTTCTGGGCTTACAACAGTTGAACAGCTTGCAAACAATACAGAATCCTTCAATGCATGAGCTTTCAGATGGCACATCTTTGTCAACAATGGGGCATGTTTATATTTTGTATTCATCTGACCCCACTTGATCTTCTAACTCCACAAACTATCAAACTTCAGTGGCCAAGCCATATTGAATAAACAAATGGAATGACTGAAAAATGGAAGTTTGCTCTAAAGGTATGACTGACAAAAAGGTTTTGTTCCGTTTTCATTTTCGTAAGAGTTCTACGGCACTTGCAACACAATAAGGTCAAATAAGTGCCAAAGATTAGAGGCATTACAAGGGAGTAACAAACACTAAAAAGAATGAGAGATAAGGACGATAGATGAAAAAGAAGGTTGTAAAAGGGAATGATTGGGAAAAAAAAAGGTTGTACATAAGAGTGATTGACCATACATGGTTGTACAAAAGGACTTGATTGACAAATAGGAGGCTGGACAAAGGGAAACCTGACAAAAACAAATACTGCTGAGGCATTTTTGTTGTTGTTGTTATTATTGTTCGACTGAAGATAAGAACACTGACATATGAATGGTCATTTAGCGCGGGGGAAAAGCAAAACAGACAGACAGAAACAAATGAGGGAAACAGGATGCAGAATCTACCAGTTGCGCCTTCCAACCACCCATACTAACTCTTTAAACCCTGATTTTTTTTCCACAGTTTCCTGGAGTTTTTTCTTCAGTCACCTATTTTCTTCAGTCACCTAAACCTGGTGCACTATATCTCATTATAACCCCCAAAGCTTGCCTTCAACTTCTAAATGGCGGAAACAAAGGCTACAAAAAAACTTGGTTCTAGAATAGCTCCGAAAAACAAGCAAAAACTAGTACTAAATAAAACGAAACAGTTGTCACTAGTATCGGATGCAGCAACACGGTTATTACCACCGGATGTTCCCAGCGTCTGATGGGGTTTAAAGAGTTAAGAGGGTAGAAACTGATAAGCACAGAGCTTATACTAGTATGGGACAGAGCGTTATATAAATGCAATCTATTATTATTATTATAGATATGAAGAGAACAGTTTCTCAACTCACCTGTCGTCATTGTTGTACTGTAGGAAATGCGCGGGGAATAGACCCAGAGAGAGTACGGTTGTCTCTATGTCATAATCGTAAAACTCCTGTGTGTTCCTGATGCGACCTGGAGACAGTTGGATAAAAACCAATAGATATATAAATATGTTGCCACATCAGAGTAAAAGTGTGTCAAAAAGACTTACAAGATCCCGGCAAATAAGACTTTTATTAGTCTTTGTGAGCGTTTTATGGCACTCACAACGAATTTAGGTCATATAAATACCAAAGAGTGGAGTTGATATTGAAGAGTAACAAATAAAAAAAAAAGAAGGAGAGAAAAAGACGATAGTTGTTTTACATGAAAGAAGGAGCAAACCACACCAGAGCACCCGCCAACCACCCTCAAAAGGAAGAGAGGTAAAGAGATGCTTGATGGAAAGAAAAAGCAAATCACACCAGAGCACCCACCAACCATCCACCAGCCTTGACAGTCTGTTCAAATGTGTGAATACACAGAAACACACTGTTGCAATATTGGTCGTTTAGTGCTAGGAGAAAGCAAGAAAAGCAGTCAGAAACAACTGCAGGAAACAAAAGAACTACCACGAGACACTGGCCCTCTCTCTCTAACCATCTGCCAAGAGAGTCAATACATTTGACTTTTTCAAAGACACACACAAACACAGGTGACCTACTCAAAGACACAGATGGCCAAGCAAACTGAAGCTTACCAACGACCAGCTCGCGGACGTCCTTCCAGGCAAAGTGGGTCCTCTTTTCGTGTACAATGGTTATCCGCAGACGCCGCTGAATGCCCTGGTGGAGCTGGAACACGCCGCGGGTCGGGAGGTCGTCAGAGTGGTCAACCACAACCGGAACATATCTTTGGGGATGCGGAGAGGGAAATAGAGAGGTCAGTGAGATACAAACACAGGCACATAATTATTGTCGGCTAGCTCTTCAACTGTTACATTTTTCAGGAGAGATAAAGAGCTGTTTCAAATCTTTCACAAATGGTACCTACGTTATGTATTGTATCTTGCTTTTTACAACATTTAAAATTTGAATTTAAACCAAATATTTTACAAGTACGTGCAATTGACACCATAGATAAAGAAACTGTAATTTTTTTTTTTAATTCACAATTTTGGGCTTGGTATATCTGCTTAACACCAGCTGGGGTTCAAAAATTGTTTTCCACTCACTTTCCTCCCATGCCTTCAACCATTGCTTGTATGCTTCCCGGGAAGCTGAGAATGTTTCGGAGTGCTCTATGGTCTGCTGGGGTAATAATATAGTGTAAAGCGCATAGAGCCTGCTGTTGAGCGGGGATATGCGCTATACAAATGCTATCTATTATTATTATTGCTCCAAAAACATGCTTCTTAAGTTAATTAGGATGGTTGAAGCCCAAAGTAGTTCAGGATAAGTTGCATTACGTTTAGGAGGAGTGCTAGCATTTCTATTCCTATCTTCCTTCGTATTTATTTTTGCCTTATTTTCAGTTTGCAGGATATTTTTAGAGTTCTTCTGTAACATTTCTTTCAAAAGCTGTGATCCTCTTTTTTTTTTTATCTTGATCATTGATGGTATGGTACTCCTTAGAGTTCCTATTTTTTGTATCTTTGCATTGTAATTTTCCAGATGTATGTCATCTTTTTCAGTTTTGATCTCTCAGGTCCACACAGAAGCAACACACAGCACACACACTCACATACAAAGAAGAAACACCCAACTCTCTCCCTACTGGGCACCGTTAAAAGTACACACATCCACTTCGAACACACACGCGCGCACACACACACACACACAAACAAGAGAATGAACAAGTAACCCTCTTATATTTGGAGCCTGTCGACGCCCACACATTCAGACAGACATGCGCCCACCCTCAGATCAACGTGTAACTCACTCTCCATTTGGTGCCAGTTCACAAATCTCAAACCAAACCAGGAGATCACACTGGGAGTGCACAGGGCTGGAGCTGGGGAAGACAAAATGAACGCATCACATCACACACGTGGAAAAAAGTCTTTTTTTTTAAAATAGAGGTTTTACGGCGCTCGCAACTGCACGAGGTGATAAGGAAAAAGTCTGATGCATAAACACATCTCATTTAATGCATGTACAAAAATCCAGCGAGAACACCTCATTAAAGAGCATAGATAAAAGACAAAAGAGCACATTTCAGCAATCACGCGTATGTACACATTTCCTTTGACCTCAGTTAGGCAAATATGATCTTCTAAATAAACATTTTCCAGAAAAACATATATAAGGATGATGGATATACATTTCTAAATTATATTTTTTTGGGGGAAGTGTTTTACGGCACCCACAACTGCATAAGGTCATTTGAGTGCCTGGGACACATTGAACATTATCACTTAGAAGAACTATCTAGGCCAACTTGAGCTGAACAGGAAACTATCTTCCAGGAAAAAAGATGGTAATATCCCACAAAACAGACAGCCCCACGTAAAGAATCGAACTTTTGCCTTTGAGAGCACCAGCAAAAAATATACAATGTAATAGCTTAAGCACAAATGCTGGTGTAGAGACCTCTAAATGATGACCTTTAAACAGTGAGTGCGTTTTATAAAAGGCAGTTTTGTTAACAATGGAAACATAAAAATTAAAAAAGAAAGTAAATATAAAGATCGTCATGAGATAAACAGATGAGAGTAGAACAATAGTCACAAGCACCCATGTTTTGTGTACATTTCAACACACTTATCCCGATGAAACACAGGATTACGAAGCTTTCTGCTCTTTGAAATTAGCCTTGAGCTGTTTGGCATTTTATAACACAGTCTGTACAATAACAGCTAAATCTTCCCTGGAGCAGCCGAGAGCAAAAGCAATATTGAAACTTAGTAAAAGGAACAGACTATCCTTTGCCTGGGCTCCTGATGCTTTCTCCAGCCTTTCTACTGCTATTCCTTGGCTCCTTCTTACTGTTGTCTTTCAGCAAAACACCCCTAATCTTATGGTAGGTAAGATCTACACCATATCTTCTCAGATAAAGGTGAAAAATCTCGGAGGTCCTGTGGGCAAGTTGCGCACACTAAAGATCCCTTAGCGGTCCAAAATCTATAAGATTAAGCTTCAGCCACCACCCGGACAAAATTTAAAATTTCCTACCAACTGAAAATGTTTAATATGTCTCGCACACTCATATGACCTAATGCAGTTGCAAGTGCCGCAAAACACTTACCAAAAACAAAAAAAAAAGACAACAGCAGACCACCCACCAATGGCTTGGGTTTATCCTTAGAGATAAGGCTTCTGCCATAAATTAACACACAATATTAGCACAGCATGCAAGTGCTGTATGCAATAAACAAATTGCAACGCCGAGAAGACAAAAATATGTCACACACAGACGTAAAATTTTCCCAGTTTTCGCATTACGCCATCTCCATGCAGTTCGCTTCCTACATTTTCTTATTACAGTGCCCAAAACAGCAAGATTCTTTTAATTGAGAACAACATTCTTCCCACCCCATAATGAGTCTTGAAAGTACCTAGTGAAAAAAAGCATCCACATCCTGAAGCCACTTTCACTAGTAAGTAAGTAACAATTACAAAAGCACAGCGCAAGTGGCATGGAGAGAGCAATGCAAGAAGCATCATGATGGCTGCTAAACATTCCAGACAGTTAAAAACAATAACATAAAAAGGTATTAAAACTCATACTCCGAGGTATCGAATAAGCGCCCCCCCCCCCCCCCCCCCGCCCCCCCCGCCCCACCCCCGCTTATTTTTTGCAGCTCCTTATTCCATATCCCTCACTTATTATTTTCCAGCTTGCAATGACCGACGATCATGTGAAACATTGTATCTAGAATCTAAATATATCTGAATTACTTTTTTTTGTTTTGTAAACGGCAAATTACCCTCAGTATTAGTACTGGTACTGGGTGGGTTTTTTAATGAAATTGGTTTGTTCCTAAATGGGCAAAGTAACTTACTAAAATCACTAAAATTTCATGATCTCTTGTTCTTTTATTCAATAAAGGAGAAATAAAACAGATTTATTCCATTCCCTCGTTTATTAATTTTGGACCACATGTCCAACCCCCCCCCCCTCCTCGTTTATTTCCCACCCCCCTTTTATTCGATACCTTAAAGTAGTCCACCACCACAAGGATTAAAAGAGAAAACATAATATGTAGGTAACATATAGCACACATTATGTGTAAGAATATTATTTGTAGATTACTAGTTGGTAATAATATTTTATAAAAATTAAGCACATGGATTGAAAAAAAATTGAAAATCAGGAAGTCAGAGCAACATGGGTAGGGGGGAGGGGTAGGCTCTTGTGAGTGTGTGAGTGTGTGTGTGTGTGTGTGTGTGTGTGTGTGTGTGTGTGTGTGTGTGTGTGTGTGTGTGTGTGTGTGTGCGCGTGCGCGCATGTGTGTGTGTGTGTGTGCCAGTGATGAGGACAGGGGGGGGGGGGGGGGGAAAGAAGGGGTTGAATGAGCTTATACATGTCATGTCAAGTCTGATCATATTTTAAAATATCTACAGTCACTCCATTCATAAAAATAACAGGTGTGAGTCTAGTAACTACAGATTAGAAAACCAAAAACCCTCAAAGCAGTTGCCTTTCATTTGCCAGATTTTCTAAACACACTTTACAAGTAGGGTAGAAAAGAGGCCTTGAACGAAGATTTATTTTGTAATCCCCTCGTGGAAAACACACTGATGCTTGCTAAACAAACTGACAGATAGAAAAAAGTGAGGAAATCCCTCAGCCAGAAAGTCAACAGAACCGCAGTACCTAAAAATTAATACATCAGCTATTGGCTAAAGTTAACAAAGCCATACGATAAAAGCAGAGAACAAAATGATAAAAACCTAACAGCTTGGTCATCCAACTTCTTGAATAGCTGACACTGACAGATGTTTTCTCTTAGTCACCAGGTTAAATATAAGTAGCAGCTTTTAGTTGAGAACACCTTTTTACTTGAAGGGTCTAGCAAAGAAAATGCAATTATTTTACAGTAAGTGATCCAAACAAAAAGCATTATCAAAGATCGGATGTTTCTGCTTGGAATGCATGTTTTTCCACCAAAGAGAGGACTGCAAGCATAATAGTTAGTTGTTTGCTATCACTGATGCAAATTCACCGCTTCGATAAAGCTAGCAAAACCATCACCTGCAAGTCACGCCAAGCCAACATGTTCTAGCAAACTTTACATTGGCATAGGATCAGCCAGTTCCACGAAAAAGCATGCTGTACATAAAAAAATGAAAATCCCTTAAAATTTTTTATTTTGTCACCATAGCAATTTTTGATAGTATGATGTCTACTTGTGTGTTAGAGTTAATCAGAGGAAGTTATGTACGTAAGTTAGGGCACATATATTTTACGTTAAGACATGGGTATTGTAAAGTGCCTCGGGCTGCATCGTACAGAAGTGGGTGCTGTTGAAGTCATCTTCACTTTTATTATTGAGTAAAAAAGTCTCACTTCCACTCGGTAAGTTACAAAACTAATAACACCAGCCCTAAGAAAAGAGTTAGTAAAGAGATTTTTCACATATTTGTTATTGGCAATGATACTGGTTAAGTTATACAGCAAGGCATCTGTACAAGCACCTCGTAAAGAGTACGTAAAGAGGCTACATATTTGATATAAAAGTAGAAAAGATAATACACTGGTTAAGTCACAATGTTAGCAACCCAGCACCAGGTAGCTCATGCGCATCCCAGCATGCTCTAGCAACCAGAAGTTTCTTCCTTACCGAAAGCCTGCAGCCTTGGACACATTGAGAATGAGGGACCTAAACAGCAACAATCATAGCACGGTAAATCATAGTGTACACACTTAAGAATATAGAAATATAGCAAAACACAATCATGTACGCACATATACCAAAACAAGAATAAAAGCACTTACTATTCATATCACAATCACCAAACAAATACAGATTTATACCATACCAATAATAATGACAATAATTATGTAAAAGTAAAAGTAAATTCAGAGGAGGGACAAAAAAATTCAAAGTCCAAATCTACTTTTTACCCCCAAACATACACAAAGGTATTGAGAGTATGGTAAAGTATTACAAATAGGACCAAAGAGTGCGAAATGAACGTGTGCAATTGTGTGTGTGTTCTGTGCGAGTGAGTGCATATGTGTGTGCGTGTTTTGAGAATGTGTGTGTTTTGTGTGTGTGTGTGTGTGTGTGTGTGTGTCTGCGTGTGTGCGTGTGCATTTGTTTGTATAGATGTGCATTACACATGATGAAAAGAGAAGGAAGAGGATGGAAAGCTGAAAGGACCATGGAAGAATGAGGGGGAAAACAAAAACCTCTGCAATGTATGCAAGGTGCAAAAGAAAGCAAACACATCAAACTCAGGGAGAAAGCAAACTATTTTAAGGAATAATCTGAAGCCAGAAGGAACAGGATTCTATTACCATTTGAATGTATGTCATGCTCTGAAGATCTAAGTCAACCCTTTTCGCATCAGCAACATCTGGCTTATCAGCTGATTTCCATCTGCCTACCCCAAGTCTCAAACTGTCTTACTAGAGTCTTTAGCATACATCCACAGTGTTAACTATATCTCATTGTTTTTTCTCAAAACAGCTATTTACTGCATTGCTCAGTGTTCACTCCTTTGTTTGACTTCCACATAGTCCGAAGAACTAAAAAGGCAGTGTGCCCCTGATTATACGTATTTGTTGTGTCATGAGTTATAGGTCTTATGTAAGTGAGTAACTCGTATCCTAAGCCACAAAGATATACAGTATATAAGTATGCATGGACTTCTGGTGTATGAGTGTCATGTGTGGAGTACAATTCATATGTCCGGAGCTCTTTGTGCAAGTGTGTCGTACATGGAATACAATTCTGTCCTGAGCAAGCGTGTTGCATGTTAATGACAAAAGTGTCCTGATCTCCTTGTGCAAGTGTGTTATGTGTGGAGAACTGAGCTAAGAAACTTGGGCAAGACTACAACTGGTTCAACACATGAGTGTGTGTTCTGAGCTGAGCTGAGTATAAGTGAGCCCTGATGTACCACGGACTAAAGACCTCATGTAGCGTGTACTGTGTCCTGTTCTCATTGATGAGTTGAGTAAGCATATGGAGGGAACAACTATTGGCGGAGGGGAGAAGGCAAGATGCATAAAAACAAGGTAGGAAATATCACACAGCAGGCTACTAACAAGAAGTAATCTCTCAGCCATTTGTCTGACAGTTGAAGAGAAGACGCCCTGATGAGAAGATATTGTTAATTTTACTTTTATGGAAAGGAAGCACTGAAGAACTGGGGCAATGTAAATGGGGGTCAGATACAAACATCTTGTTAAATTTCTGTGTAAAAACATGCCATGGGTGCATTTAAATTCTTTGTACACTTTCAAATACTGTAAAATACAGATTTCTTTACTTTGCAAACGTAAACTCAGTCTGGGAGAAGAACACTTCTTTTAGGATGGTCATTCATGACTATTAAAGCAATTTCTATTCAAGGGATGACAGACTATGCTTGGATGGCATCTCAAATGCTAAATACTACCAACAGCCCATCTTTTGTCCTTCTATCCATGAAACTTTGAAATTATCTCCCTCTCTTTCTCATTTCTTTCTCTCTCTCTCTCATTTCTCTTTCTCTCTCATTTCTCTCTCTCTCTCTGTCTGTCTCTCTCTCTCTCTCTCGTTTCTCTCTCTCATCTCTCTTTGTCTCAAGAGCCAGCAGGTCTGGGACAGACGCTGGTGATCACTGAGAGTATAAAAAAAGAAATACTGGGCCACGCTAATAGTCCATCTAGACAAACACCCTTCCGTGCTACACAAAGAACCTACAAAATCTTCTTCATACTGAATAGAAATCTTGACCTTTCCCTTCTTGTCCACAAAAGCCTTTATTACAAACCAAAAAAAAGAACTGAAAACATACCTCTCCTTCTTCTTTCTTTGTTTACTATCTTGCTCTTCATCCTCTTCATCTGCTTCCTCGTCCTCTTCTTTCCTACTGGAATTTACCAAGATGTTCAGAACAGAAAGCACACACTAAAGCGAAAAATCGCTAAGGCATGCAGATACAATTACAGAAATATTATTTCTGCATGCTGAAACAAATATCATCTACAAATTAAAGAGAAAGGCTACACTAAAGGTGAAATCACAGACATCTCATGTAGACAAAATGAGAAATGAAATAATTCAACAAAATCACGGAGACCGAAACATTGAAGGGGGGGGGGGGGATCTTACAAGACTCAATGCGCATACATTGACACAATGACACAAACGTTTAGTGGCCAAGTCAACTATGGTGCCAACTGGCTTTTTAAAAAAATCCGGAACTTTTTCGACCACACTGAAATGCGCTTGTGGGGACTTAAAATTTACAGACTATGTTGTCTTATTCATGTTGCACCAAGACTTTTAAAATATTGCCCAATATTCAGATAATTCTAGAGATGTTGATTTCCAGTTTTATCTGGAAAATCATCAGCTGCTTTGAGTTAAATGCACTAGTCTAACACTAACAGCTCCATTGACACAGTTTGGTCTAGTCTGTAAACGCCGTGGCAGGAATTGGGATTATTTTTATCCGTTGCGATGCAAAGAAATAACATGAACAGAATACTTTTATAATATAATAACACTGTGAAAGACAGACACTTTTCTCCTTGACAATGGGTGACTGACTAAGACAGTTTTGATTGTACTTTACTTTACCCATGAAAAGGATATTTGCGACATTGGAATATGAGTCAAATGTCAATGAGACGTAACTAATTTGGACACCGAAATGCTTCACATCAAGTTCAACAAACACATTCTGACAACAGGTAGTTTTGAGTCAAATCTCTTCGAGACTGGGACGTAGTTAATTTTGACACTGGCCACAGCACTCACAAACACATTACACACAGAGGCACAAACTTGTGAGACTACAGCAGAAAATTCAATACCATGCTTTGCACAACAATTTAACTGACACTCACTAGAACATTAATTCTATTCACATGCTTATTGTGGCAAAAGAACATCACACTGAAGAGAAATGAGGAACTTGAATAGTCAAATAAATTATTTCCACTAAAAATCCTAGGCAAAAACTTAACAAGGAAGTAAACACACAGTAACACGCCAACTTAATACGAACATTGCAAAGGAAAGAGGTTACTGAATACAACACAGTTGATAGAAGACTGATGACAAATAAAACATAAAGACACTGAATATTTATGTTACATAATGAAAACAAAGGAAATATATATATATGTGTGTGTGTGTGTGTGTGTGTGTGTGTGTGTATGTGTGTGTGTGTGTGTGTGTGTGTATGTGTGTGTGTGTGTGTGTGTGTGTGTCTAAGTGAATCATCAAAGATAAGCGTTTTTGTGCGTGCTTAAGTGTATGCCTGCACAAATGAGAGTGCAGGTGTATATTTGAGTGTGTGACTGTGTGTATGTGTGTGTGAGTGCATGTATGTGTGTGTGTGTGTGTGTGTGTGTGTTTGTCAGCAGGCGTTCGACCACCACTTAGCAAGTATCTACGACTGAGTGAGCAAGTAGATATATGAAAATGAATATCAAAAGACAAAAATCGAAGCACAAAGAGATAAAAGAAAACCCCAAAACACTCACAATACATTTTAGCAATGGAGAAGTGAAGTGATAACAAAAAAGAAACCACGGCTAAAAAACACCACTGAGGGTCAGGGGTGAACGTCAATAGGACACCTCAAACAAAGCAACAAGTCCACAGTCTACGACAACATTGTAGCACACAAAATAAAGTCCACTGAACACATAGTGTGCACATTTATGTGCGCATACATGAGTGAGTGTGGAGTATGTATGTATGTATCTGCATATGTCGGGGGAGGGGGGGTGGGGGGTGGAGAGGTCAGGGGTCAAGTGTCCAGTACCTTGGAGCAGTGACGATGCCGAACTTGGGTGAGGGTACCGGCTTGGACACTGGCATGCTGGGGAAACTGCGGCTTGGGGGCGGCCTCACACTGGGGATGAGTAGGACGGCATTTTGAGTGAGGAAGGCAACATTTCGGCAGCTCAGCTTTTTTAAAGAGTTTTACGGCACTTGCAACACAATAAGGTCATATAAGTGCCGAAGATCAGAGTTGTTACAAGAGAGTAACAAACACCAAAAAGAAGAAGGAGAGATCAGGATGATAGATGTTCAGGAGCAAACCACACCAGAGCACCCGCCAACCACCCAAGGCTGCTCAGTGTAAGAATCCGTCATACCTCTCTTTTCAAAATTGTGTATGGGAAAGTCTAATACTGAGCAGTCCTGATTTTGAGTCAGGAAGACACAGTAGGACAATGTTTTGAGTAAGGCAACACTTTCACCAGTCAGAGAGACAGCACTTAAAGTGAAGAAGATCAACACTCTGGAAGATCCAGACAACGTTTTTAGTGAGGAAGGCACAGAGCGACGACATTTTGAGTAAGGAGGACAATATTCAAAATCAATTTAAAAACTCATGAAATGAAAAAAATCCCACTCCCTTCCCCCCCAGAGAACCAAAGAGTGTCAAAGGGGTGTAAAACATTTCATTGGCAAGCTGTTCAGTCGTACGAAGCTTGAAACTTTGAAAAATTCTGTTATGGCAGTTTCTCAATCTGTGGTATCGCTTGCAAGTACTCACAAAACATTTTGTCAAAATTCAAATTCAAATTTTTATTTTTGTTCATCTATAGTAGAGGGTTTTACGGTGCTCGCAACTGCATAAGGTCATATGAGCGCCAAGGGGTGGGTGTCAAGAGAGAAGTCTTTACAGGGAATCAGACTTTCTCTGCTCACCTCTCTAGCTTCAATAGCACAAGATCTACTTCGACTATCAAGGCACCCCGGAAATAGAAGGTTACAAGAGAGTGACAAACATACAAAAGAAGTTGAGGAAAATGACAAAAGTAAGGATAAAGAAAGAAAAAGCAGCAGTTCTCTGTTGTAATTCAGGCACAGTTATGAGCATGACATGAATCAGCCCATTTACAATTCTACTGTGCTTGAACGAGAAATGTCCCCCCTCGAGAAATGTCCCCCCTCGAGAAATGTCCCCCCTTTGGGAATGGCCTAAAGATACTACAGGCAGTGGCACTGCTCTGGGGGGGGGGGGGGGGTTTCAAATTCTACAGGTTGAAAAAAAGCAAGTAAAGATACATAATGCAGGTGCAATATTTCGTTAAAAAATTTTAAAAAAATTTCTCTCTCCAGAAAATTTTTAATTTCTAGGCTTAGAACATTTCGATTGCTTAGTGTAAGAATCCACAATACCCTGTTTTCAGTGAGGAAGACACTGAGTAGTCATTTTAAAAAACTTGCTGGTGATTTACAAAATAAGAAAGAAACAAAAAATTTGTGTGGTCCAGTGTGTGAGTACTCACTAGGGGCAGTCCTTTGCCTGCTCGTGCAGTGGGTGCTGTTGGTAGTGTCCCAGCACCTCAAAGACCAGTGGCTGGCTCTTCACATAGTCGATGAACGACTTGGTCACATTCACCGTGAACTGCAGGCGTTGGAGAGAAAAAAGAATTTATAATTAATGAGAAGAAAGAATAATAAATCAGGACAAAGAATGATGAGTGTGAAGAAAGAATAATGAGTGTGAGAAGAAATTAAGGTGAGTGAGAGGAAAAAACAAAGAGTGAGAGGAAAGAATAATGATTGACAAGAAAGCACAGTGAGGGAGAGTAAAAAAGAACAAAAGAGAAGAAAGGATTAGGAGTGAAAAGGAAGGATAATGAGTGAGCAGAAAAGATAGTGAGTGACTCTTTCGCTAAAGAGCATTTAACATTAAATGCACTCTACTATAGGCCATTTAGAGCTCAAGGAAACTATGCCAAAATGAGAGAAGAATTTATGAAGAAAATGAGTAAAATGAAAAAGAAAAAAACAAAAAAAACCAAAAAAACAAACACACACTAAAAAACAACCCAAAAAAACAACAACACACACAAAAAAACAACCAGTGTGCAGTGGTCATTTGTGCAAGTTAGCCACTCACATTCTGAACGTGGTAGAAGCCCAGTGGTGGTCCCTTGCCAGTGTTCTTGAGAGGCTCAGTGGAGAATGCCTCATCGTGGCGGTGCAGGAAACTGTGTGCATGGGTGTGGTTGGGAGGGGTGGGGGTGGGAGTGGGGGAGGAGAGGAAGGGGGGGGGGAGGAAAGGAAAGAGGGAAGGAGAGAGAAACAGAAACTTAGTTCAGCCACCAAACACAGTGAAATGCGAGCACAAACTTGACCCATATCTCCCATCTTTCCACTTGTAATCATTACAACAACCATGAATATTGCCTGTGGAACCCTTTTCACTTACCTATTAATTGTATGAATAAATCACCCTGTCTTCCCACCTAAAAAAGCCTAGGGTGCAGAAAAATGACGAACACAAATGGGTTTTCATGAAATTGACTGTGGCAGAGTGTTATTACAAGGATTGGGACATTATTGTACCTGCTGATTTACACTGAGTATGCATTGAACACACTAAGTTCCCCCAACGGTACAAATAAGAGAGGTATTTGAGAGGCATCAAGGTGAAATCAGGCACTCATCAAAATAATGAAATTGAAGATATCTGCATTTTTCTGCCGGTTTAGCAATTTTTATCAAATTTTTGTTGTTTGGCTCAACATCTTGTCCATTTAAAAAGACATTTCTGTGTGAATTAACTAAAAACACATTGAGTAAAGATACACAAAATGTAAATTTTCAGTTCCCAAGGACTCTCTAGCTATGCAAATCACCCAACTTTGGAGGCCATTTTTAAAGCTAATTTTACCTCTGAAACCCCACCTCCTCCAGTCATAAATATCTCCATTCCTATCTAAGATAGATGGTTAATTTTTAAATTGAAAAATAGACAAATGCCCAAGCTTTAAGATGACACCAATAAGTCCACATGCCCAAAAATTGACAAGCATCTTAGTCCACCGCGTCTTGACACATTTATTGTTTTCATTTCATCCACGCAGGCGCCTTCCTTTCCTGTCCTTCTGCCTGAACTCTTTTTTCTTGCAAACATGTTCAGCCATTTTCTGCCTTTTCTATTCTGCATTCAGTTCTTTTCCCAGGATTGATATCAATATTTTACACCCTCAAAGTTTACAAAGTTATAAAAAAGGGCCCATAAGCATAATTTAGAAAACAGCAACAAGTGGGAAAACTGTGACAGAATGGTGCATATTTTCAAATTAACATACAACAAATCCCAGAGATATTAAATTCAATATAGCTTACTGTCCATCACTAGTCAAACAGATGCATTTCTCAAATCAATTTGAGACGACAAAAGACGTGTGATTGACACTTGCTCAAATTAAAAGAAGAGTCCAAAAAGACGTGTCACAGAAGAAGACACTGTGACGACTTATTTGAATAGAGAGATGTCACCATAAAGGACTACTTAAACTGACAGAAGAAGTTTGCTTTGTTTGATTTTGGTAAAGAGATGCACATAATCATGATAAAACTTTACTGCAGTTGCAGAATACTATTTCAACGGATGGAAAACACGATAAGAAACTTACTTCAACTTACAGAAAACATTACAGCCAACTTACTTGAGCTTTCAGCAACTTACTTAAACTTACTGAAGTTTGTTTTGTTTGATTGAATGAAAAAAAGCACATCGTTATGATTTAACATTAATTCGGTGACAAAATAGTACATGAAGTGACAGCAAGCACCAGTAATAATAATAATAATAATAATAGATAGCCTGTATAGCGCAAATGCCAGCTCAACAGCAAGCTTTATGCCCTTTACAATCTACATTATTACTCCAGCAGACCTGATAGCATTCTGAAATGATCTCAACTTCACTAGAAGCATATAGTGCAGTTAGTGGAACTGACTGATTTGAATGTTCAGCAACTTACTTAAACTCCGACTTATTGGAACTTTGAACGACTTATTTGAACTTTGAGCGACTTATTTGAACTTTGAGCGACTTATTGGAACTTTGAGCGACTTACTTGAACTGACAGAAGATGTCGGCGTACTCCGGCGAGATGTAGGAGGCCTGCAGGATGGTGACCCGGAACTGGAACTGGCTGTTGATGGTCAGGTGCTCGGGCAGCTCTGAGCTGATCATCTCCGGGCAGTAGTCAATCTTGTCCGAGTCCGAGCGGTTGTCGCCGGTCACCTGATGCATCTCTGGACAAAGAGTAGACGAGTAAAGTTTGAATATGAGTTAAAAGAAGTTTTAGATTTAATAAGAGTTTAACGGCACTTGCAACACAATTAGGTCAAATATGAGCCGAAGATTAGAGGTGTTACAGGAGAGTAACATAAGGAAAAAAGAAGGAGGAGAGATAAGGATGATAGATGTTTGATAGGGAAGAAGGAGCAAATCACACCAGAGTTAAGAGAAGCACATCAGCACAATCATGGTTGTATAATGCAGTGAGAAAGTAAGACAAACAGACAGGAAGTACAGAGGAAAAACCAGAGGCGCCCTCTAACCAACTGCATGTGCAAAATGAGGGAGTGCACAACAAATAAGGTGAAAGAAGAGAGGGAGCAAGCGGTCACTAAAGGGAAGAGGAAAGCAAAAGCAAAGAAAAAAAACAAGTCAGAAGGGGACAGGATGATGCAACGATACAGTGTGGTAAGAGTTAAATGCACCTTTCTACATTAAATAAAATTCTACTTAGATAGATTTTGTCAATTAGGTTTACAACATAATGGTATACGAGAAAAGATACAAAATATACAATAATCAAGTAAGGCTACACAGTTCATTATAACACACCTTTATGGACAATCTCACAAACATGCCATTGCTGGTCACTACTCTTCCGTTGTTTTTAGTTTGTATGGTCTTACTCAAGGACACCCCCCCTTCCACTTGTAATCGTGGAACATTCCAAATTCCCACCTGTAAGACCACATCCCTTTATGCATTATGAAAATATCCAGAATCTGACCCCACCCCTCCATCTCCCTCATCTTACCATAGCAATGAATGATGGAACAGCCCAAATCCCTACCCTTCTCTCCCCCCTCACCTGTAGTAATGGAACTGTCCTGGTTCTGCCCCTCGCCCTCCACAATCCTCAGCTCCTCCATGGAGGAGACAGCCTCCAGTTTCTTTGCCAGCTGATCCGGCAGAGGGAAGCTCGTGGTTTTCTCCTGCTTCTGATAAAAAAAAAAAAAAGAGGAAATGATCAGTACTGCGGGATAACATTTTTTACCAGTGCAAAGAGAGTCGGGGAGAGACAGCAACCTGTGTGGAAAAGCCAGAAGAATATCCAACCAGCTGATAACTGGCACGATCAGCAAGCCAACCCTTTCATGGATCCTGGAGAGGAAGGAGGAGCAGCTATGGCATTGTACCGCCTGCAGTGATACCTATTTTCCAACCAAGCAAGTAAGTAAGTAAGCAAAGTACATTTAAACAGTCAAAATAGTCTGAGTAGGTCACCCGTAGTCAAAGATCTTACAATATCAGTGACAAATCAACAACGGTCTGAGTAGTGTATGGATACAAGCTGTTTTTTAAGTGAGTTGGGTTCTAACGTGTTATTTATAGAAGCATTTTTGCTTGTCTGCTATGGGTGGATAACATTGTGTATAAATGAATTGTTCCAAATCTAACAAAGAAAAGATCTTTTCAGTACAGTTGAAATTGTCTAAGACAGTCACCCATTGTTGAAGAGCACAGTGGCTGTCTTAGACAGGATGGTGTCTTGGAAAGTGTCATTATGATTAAATAAAAAACGCAAGGAATAAAGGGGAAAGTGGTCGTTTGTACAGGTGATTGTCTTGGACAGGAAGGTATTAGAGCATGTTTGTATTTATACCAAAGTGTGTAAGAGTCTGTGTGTATGTGCATGAGGGAGGGGTGCAATAGCATATGTGCCTGACGACGCAGTCACTCAAAGATCACGGCGTCACTTTTCGCCTGATTCTGTTACTTTTAGTTAGCGTGACTCAGCAGCCTGCGGGAGTTCCCCAGCTCGGGGTCACGGGGTTAATGAGCCCTGAAGCGACTTTGTCGGTGTCGGTCAGGAAGTTCGCATTTTTGACTATGTTTAAAACGATACAACTTCTTCCCAATCCCACACAGCAAACCATTTCACGGATGTACTAAACGCTCAATGTCTTGAGATTTATTCTGCGTTACAATGGTTAATTTCTGTGCCTTAGTTTTTGTTCTAGACAAGTGTTTGTAGAATACCCAATTTGTCCTATTTTAGTTACAAACTTATGAATAAACGATTGATAATTTAAAAAAGGCTTGACAGATCTCTCCAAAATCTGTGTTAAATATCATGTCTTTTACCATGAGAAATCTTAAATCTACACGAATAGTAATAGTCAAGTTATAAGAGAAGAAAGATGCACATCTGCATTTTTAAACTAAAGACGATCAACGTTAGCTCTTATTTTACTATTAAATAAGAGAAAGTGACTCTGCATTTGTTCATGAATCATGCTGTGTCTGTGGCAGCCTGCATACAACTAAAAAGATATAATATAAGCGAATAAAAAACCCACAAAACTGTGTAAATACAAGGGTAGAGATAAACTTCTCATATGAAATAAAAATAATGACAGCTAAAACATTCATTCTTAGTTTTTGAGTCGGAAATATGCGCGGACACAATGATGAATGTAAAGAAATCAGTTACATTGTCAGTTATTGCAAATGGTCATAGAAACGAAAAAAAAGCTGGAAAAGTCTAATGCTGATTCAGTGTCCCAGGAAAGCTAGAAATTATTCTTACAACCCAATTACGAGAAGTCATCCCTATTATTCAGTCAACTTACAAAACCTAGACTTAGCGTTTTAAGAAAAGTAAGGAATTTCTGGAGTGTAACAGATACTGTTCGTGTATTAGATCTACGCTGAAGATGTATTCTAGCACTAAAATCGATTTGTACTTTTCTTAGAGAAACTTCATGGTAACTTTTACAAATTTTCGAGAAAATATGGGAATATTCACGATTATATTAGACACATAAAGTTGTCTTTGGAGGAATTACTTCACAGTGAATTGTGTGCCCGATGGATAAAATTGCAAAATTACAACCTTTTATTATATGCGCAGATACCATCTTTTCTGAGTATCTGCACCCAATGCTATGTCGTTCATGTTCCAAAAGTTCGACAGATTTTGACAAGGCCTTTTTTTTATATTGATTTTTTTTCATTCACGCTAGTCCAAAAAAAATTACAATTTAGCATTGCCCACTCCAGCGCGACTAACGAAATAACCAGACAAGTTACAATGTCCGTTCTTTTTTGAGTCTCAAGAGCAGAAATGCGTGCTTTGGGTGCACTAAATGAGAATTACCATAAATACAAGGATACACCTTAAATTGTACGTTGAAAAGTACCAAAAATTAAGTCGGCCCAGACAGAGCGGCGACAGGGAGCTAACCCCCATGACCCCGATGTGATAAGGCACCCGGCGGGGAACCCACGGCGGCAATTAAAATTCCATTGCCGGTGCGCCGTGAGATATGCACTACATACATACGTACATACACATAAGCACGACATATGATTATATAGACTGCTGAGCGTAACACACCGCCATGTGCCATTTGGAAAAGTGACATTTGGTGAAGTCTTACACTGAGCAGTCAATATGAAGAAATAGTAAATGCCAACCTTGTTGAAGTACTCCTCGTCAGAGAAAGTTATCTTGGCATTGCCAGACTGCTTGATGCCTGGGGTGAACTCCTGAGGTTCGTCTTTGTCTAGAATGGAAAGAAAAACAGGGATAACAGTGGGAAGGCAGGAAATAACTTGAAGAAAAAAAAATACTTTGGAAATTGTCCAAGCCCACCACCCATTTTCGAGGAGTTAAGTGGCTGTCTTACACTGCCTTGGGTAGTATCATTATAATATAGAAAAAAGGAAGTGGGAAGTGGTCATCTGAAAAGGTGATTGTAGTTTTGGACAGGTGTATGTTATAGAAAGTTAGATTTTATTCTAATTTTAGAGAGAGTTTTTCAATACTTGCAACATAATCAAGTTATATAAGGGTCAAAGATTAAAGGTATTACTACAAACAAAAGAAGGAGGAGAGATAAGGAAGACAGATGTCTGACAGGAAAAAAAGGAGCAATCTACACCAGCACCACGACATCTGCCAACCGCCCACCAGTATTATTATAATATTGTAAGGTGCGAAGTGGGAAGTTGTCATTGGTTCAAATGATTGTTTTGGATGGGTGACAGTAAAAGCAGGTTTGACTGTATGTAGTTTCAGAGTCAAAGTCAAAGGAACATTTGTAAGAAAACACAATTGTACACAGCAGTATCGGCTGCCAGATGAACAGCAACCATGACAACAGCAACGACTACAACAACTTTTCCCCTACCCGTAATGGCTTGCACAGCCACACGTAGGTAGCCTTTCACATCTCCCTTGTCATTGACGATGGCGACTCTGTGCACTAGAGGCACAGGGTAGAACAGGTTGCTCAGGTACACAAATGCTCTGAAGAGAAAATACAAATACAACAAGCATTCAGGTCAAGTTTTCATAACTTGAAATTTACATCATACAGACAAACCTTTCAGAAATTCACCTCATACACGCAAGGTTTTCAGAAACAAGCGACACCTTAAAAATTTGAATTTGTTTTTAAATTGCAGTTTCTTTATATGTGGTATCGGTAGAATGTGCTTAAGAAACATTTTGTTAAAATTGAAATTTTAAATGTTGAAAAAAGTAGAAATGGATACATAAAGTAGGCACAATCGTTTGAAGAAGAAACCACTTTTTCCTTTCTCCAGAAAAATGTGGCTTACTGGGCTTAAAATAGTTGAACAGCTTGCTGACTACACAAAGATAAATATGTCACAAATTGGTGGAACGAGGCCCTCTCAAATTTTTGGCCATGAGAAGTTATTGGTATAATCTGAAAGCTTATTCATTTTGTTTGTTTTCTATGAAAAAAACCCACTCGTCTATCTTGAATAGAAGTTGAAATATTTGCGATTGAAGTAGGTGAGGGTAGCATGGTTTCAGATGTAAAATTATTAAGAGAAGGGGGAGAGACACAGACAGACAGGCTGGCAGACAGACAGATACAGAGGGAAAAAAACAGATATAGAAAGAAAGAGACAAGAGTGAAAGACAGACAGACAGACAGAAAGGGTGAGAGAGAAAGAAAAAGGCAGAGAGAGTGAGTGAGAGAGTGAGAAAGAGAGAGAGAGAGAGAAAGAGAGAGAGAAAGAGAGAGAAAAAGAGACAAAAAGACTGAGAAAGAGAGAGAGACACACATGCACACACAAAAAGACAGAGAGAGACAAGAGACACAGAGTAAAACAAATAAACACATATTAAAAGAGTCTTATTCATTACGACAAAATGTCTGACCTGCCGACCAGCCGGAACCAGGGGAACCTGTCGTAGAAGGGATCGCCGCCGGTCATGCTGTCTATGTTGGGCTCGGGGGAGGTCGGAGACAGCTCCGCCTCGTTGTGGTACATCTCACGCATCAACTCCAGGCGCTGCCTGCAGGGGGAAGCAGCAACAAAAAGTCAGCCACAATGAACTTTTCTTTAAAAAAAGTTTTAGTTAGAGTTTTACGGCACTTGCAACACAATAAGGTCATATAAGTGACGAAGATTAAAGGTGTTACAAGAGAGTAACAAAGATAAAAAGAAGGAGGGGAGATAAAGACGGGATAATTTTTTAGTTTTAGTAAGAGTTTTACGTCACTTGCAACACAATAAGGTCATATAAGTGCTGAAGATTAGAGGTGTTACAAGAGAGTAACAAACACAAAAAAGAAGGAGGGAAGATAAAGACGATAGATATTTGATAGGAAAGAAAAAGCAAACCACACCAGAGCACCCGCCAAACACTCACACAATTAACTTTTGAATCGCTGAAAGGCTATGACACAAAACACACCTACATACATAGAAACATACACATACCACATTCACACACAAATATAAATACTTGAACTTTTTATGTGCATATACTTTTACATAAATATTATATATATTATATAATAACATAATAATTTCAAATTATATAACACATCCAACAGTGTCCTGTTCATTGAATAGTCTTTATTGCAACTACATGGAAATGATACTGTGTGTACACTGAACTCATTCTGATTATGGAATAGATTATGAAGCACAACTGAGTCAAAGTAAGCTCTGCATTAAAAATTATCAATATGACATATTACTTCTTTTAGCACAATTCATGCTTGAAGAATTTTAACAACAGTAAGCACCTCCCCCTCACATGACTAATGGAACAGTCATTACAAAATAGTTAAGTAAATTCTCGATAAGTTAATTACGGACTGGTGGACAGAAAAGCATATTTAATTTTTTTTTTTACAGAAGGTCTGATATAAAGAAAACCATAGTTGATTATCTTTTCTTACAGATGGTCTAATGGAAAGAAAACCATATCTGATTATCTTTTCACAGCTTCAACTTACTCCAGTCGTTTCGCTGAACACATATTATGTGTTTTAAAATAGGGTAAGCAAGGCATACGCTTGGCATACATATTCATAACATCGCAAAACAAAGGCCCACAATCATAAAGAACAATCATAAAGAACAATCATAAAGAACAATCATAAAGGGGGCAAAAATAGCATATGAAGCAGATTTCCAAGTAAACAAAAAGACAAAGAACTTATCTTTAACCCATTGAGAAAAGAAAAAAACATTAATGGAACCAAGTGGTTGACATAATATACAAAAACATGGGGCGAACATTAGTCAGGCGAACGAAAAACTTAAGGGAAACTCATGGTACAGTACAAATAAATGTAAGGATAAGTTATGCTTGTAAAAATGCTGTTCGTTTCTAAATACTGAGCACAATAATGATGAGGATGA